TCTTGTGGGACTGTACAGCTTGCCCAAGGCCACATAGGCTGGCTCTCCTGGCCTACACAGTGGTGAATCGAACTCCCTATGTCTGCCCCCATGGCCAGATACCTAAACCAGATACTCAGTTATATCTCCTGTGCCCTGAACAGGGACAGATTTTAAATCTCACTACACATGCCAAGCATTCATCAGTGTAAGGATATCTGTGTCATTACCAGAGCTTGGAACATTACTTTGAAAAATGAACTTGTTTTGTTATTGATTACTTTGATCCAGCAGCCTATAGCAACAGCCAACTGTTGTCATGTGCCATCCAGTTATCTCTCATCTGGGGTGACCCTATGAATTAGTGATTTTCAAAAGGTCCTATTGTTAACTGCCATGCTGAGCAATTGTATACTCAAGGCCCTGATCTTAAAAGCTTCCATGAGCTTTTAAGGACCCCAAATCCCATTTTAAACAGCCTTGTTACAGAACTTTGTACTGTATATAGCTAATTTTATTTTGCACTTCCATCTGTCACAAACACTTGGGCTACAGTGACACTGTCTTCACTGGTCTGGTCAAGAAATGTGACACAATTTGACTGGACCTCCCTTAGAAACTGTCTCCCCATGTCCTATTTATCCAATTTCTAGTCAGAATTCCCTCAAGGTGTAGATGCAATATTGATATTTTACTCTTTCCCAATTAGCTTTGTTGATATTCCTCCTTATGCAGCCTTTTGGAGAACTTGTCAACCACTTTATGAGACAAAACATGTTACCTGCCAGCAGCTTTGGCCAAGTTGTGTGGTAGAATCACTGACTTCAGACCACTGAACTGGCCATATTTGTCTGCATTCCTGTCAGCTGGTTTCAAGATCTGGAAACAGCCATATGACGATCTTACCAACATTCATTTTTAAAATAACACTCAAGGTTACAGTATACAAACTATTTAATTTGAGATTTTGCTTTTGCTAGAGGGGAAAACAAATTCAGTAAGTCCATATAAAAGTGAATGTAGTGCAAGGCATGTGTGTTCACTTGGATTTCGGCTACTTCTTGGCTTTGGCTGAGTTGCATGGTGGAGTGACAAGGCACACACCTGTGTTCAGGTCATGGATCTAATCATATAGATCCTTCTTCTTGTCAGTTGGTTGCAAGATCTGGAAGGCTATTTTTGTCACTCTTTTTTTTAAAACAAGACTCAAAATTTGCAAGTTGATTCCTACCTCAACCCACTCCACATAGACACAAATGCAAGGGTCACCCATACTATTTAATTTGGGGCATTGAGGGTATAGTGTTAGAAAAGGGAAATAAATTCAGTAAGCCCATATGAAAGTGAATGAAATACACAAATGTACATTCATTTGGGTTCTGGCTATTGGGGAGAGGCTGTGAGACCAAATGGAAATAAATGGATTAACTAACTCACTCACTAACTAAATGTCAAATAACAATGGAAGCAATACAACTTCTCATATATGCAGCAGTTTCCCGATTCCTGCAACTATGTAAAACATGGTGTGTTTTGGTGTTTCCTGTTGTGTGCACACACAGACACACACACAGAGGATTTACACCTTTGTACAGCAAGGCATCTGGGATGTTTGAAGTTCTTTTACTCTACCAACCTGATCTAGTAGGGAATGCATGGAGGACTGGGGGCTACGTATACATATCCATTTCAGAAACTCTAAAATTGCACTGATTGGCACTTCTGTCACTCAGGAGACTGAACCAAAGTAGGAACAAAACATGTGTTGGGTTAGCACTTCCCTTTTCATACCTCCAAAGATTGACAATAGGATGGTTCATGTCTCATTTTGGATAGTTTTGCATAGTTCTAACATTTCCAATCCATTTCAACAAAGGGAAAAAATGCATATAAAACAATGTGTTTTTGAAAGATAAGCATGCTGAAAAAAATGCCTGTGTTTCAAAAATGCACAAAACAATAATGTAGTGAATGGGCAAAATGTACACAAATACACACATTAGGAAAAATGTTTAAGAAAAATGTGCATACCAGGAAAAATGCATGAAAAATATATACATGGATGCTTGTGCAGGAAAAAGAAAATGATCTGCAATCTGATCTGGAACTGGGGCAGGATGAACTCAGAACTGGCAGGTTTTCACAACCTTAAGTTCTGACAGATGAGTATCTTGACGTTTTGGTCTACCAGCAACTAGCTTATGTTGACAGGTGTTCACAACCCTAAATTCTGATAGGTTAGTATCTTGACGTTTTTGGTCTACCAGCAACTAGCTTATGTTGTGCCAACACATCATTCTTACTGCAAACATGGACTGAATCTAGAGCTACACTAGCCCTACAGAATATCTGACTGCTCGATTTCTGTCTTTAGCTGCCAAATTAGAAATGGGAACCACACACACACCATTAATTTTGACAATGGTTCACCATCAGATTAGTCACTATTTGAATGAGTATAATTCACCATTTGCAAACTGTCTTTCAGTCAACAGACACTTACAAAGTATAAGCTTCAGAGTATCATTAAGACTATGCTTTCAGCGTGCTAACAAAGTATACTTTGACAAAGCAAAATGTGTAGCCAGAGCAGAACAATCAGCTTTTATATGTGCAGAATTCCTGCCCTGTTCCACAAAGTATGTAAAATAAAGGCAGCTTGTAATTTTAACTTATTGCATATATTTTGTGGAGATGTTCTACAAGAGAACCATTATAACATCAAATAGAGTGACAAGGGTTTCAGATTTGTATGCCTGAAAAAGTTACTTTTGGGGGATGATAATTCCCATAATCCTTCATCCTGTTAAAGGAATTCATTTCTTTAAAAAATGGATTTTCATTCATGCCTATGAATACTGAATTTCTATAATGCAATATACAAAAATAATAGGGTGTTACACACAGTACTTTGGATTTCTCTAGCGTAAAGCTATCGTAATTCATCAAGGGAAAAGCAGCCCATCCATCATGTTTCAAGGAGCCTAATCACCTTCTATTTTTGCTGCCTACATAGCACTGCAAAAACTTTATCAAAGACGATAGGTTCCTCCACACTACAGAAACAAATCCAAACCCCCATTCAGCCATGAATCTCATTGGAGCAAATTGGTGAACCCCTAACCTATATCAGAGGTTGCTTCAAATATAAAAGAGGGAGAAGACCTCGTTCATTACCTTCACCTCCTTGGCTGAAGGGCTGAATGTAAATATAACGAATGAATAACCGTGTAAAATGTCATAGGTTGTGGAATTCATTCTGAGGATTCAGAGCATTTCAAATTGCATATGTCAATAGGATGATGAGGTTTCCAAGTGAGTTAAAGGAAGTATGCTGCCCTGCTGGCCCCACTGCCTGCTTCACACCCACTTCTCTGAGCCCAAAAGTCCCTGTTCTGGATAAGTATCTGAACAATTTTACATTGGTGATGGCTTCTCCATACAGGCAGGAACCCTGTACAGCCTAGTCTCTCATCAAGCCTGCAGCCAGTTTCCCTTTCCGAATTCAGGTCTTCATACAGCATATGATGGGGATGGACCCTGGAGATGGATATGATGTTGGAGACAGGGCTAGCAGGGTAGCCAAATGAAGAGAATCCTTACCTTGATATGCCTAATTACCAACATTATTATATACACCCCACTGCTACTTCAGGTAAGAGACAGAGACCACAGCCCACATGTTTAGTCATTATGCTATAGGATTAGGGTGGAACATATTTTTTTATGCAGATGACTTTTAGAAATGATTTCAAATTTGTACATGCACAAGGTGGAGACACGCTAAATCAGTGCCTGTTAAGGCAACATAACATAAGGCTAAATCTAATGTTAGTCCTACCTAGACCTCTTAAAATGAATGGGACTTCTCAGTCATAACTAACTTCAATCCCATTGGTTTCAGTGAGTTTACTCTTGACAGGACTAATCTGCACTTAGTCCATAATGAAAAGTTTGTTTTTCTTTTTTATATTAAAGAGGAAAATTTCCCTCTCACTTAATTTAACTTAATATTGTTTTTCTCACAACGTGAGCAATGTGAATTACTTCAAAGCTTTTTTAAAAAACCAGACTTACATTTGATTTATACTGGTGTAAACGCACCATCAAGTCTAGGATAATGATATAAGAAGTGGAAAAGGAGGCAAAATGTCATGAAGATTTAAAAAAAGACTAGTGCTTCTACCATTTTCCCAGGCTGAAAATACCTACCCCCATTTTAAGAAATCCTCTTATCTTTTGGAATCTGCTGTGCCACGTCTACAGTGGTTGCTGCTCTTGCTACAGCAGACTGTTCTATCTCTCCTCTGACTGCTGATCCATCATGGCAGCAGTCAAATGGCTCAAAGATTAAAGACGTAATACAGTTTTAAGGCCATTAGAAGAGAAGGCTGGTTCATGGGTCATGAACATTACATCTGATTTCAATGTGCAGCAAAATAATGAATTGCTACTAGGAGAGGACTGTAACAGTATGAGAAATTTTTAAAAGTTGCTTGTTGGAACACGGAAAGTTGCTAGCAATTTAAAGGTGGAAGGGAGTGGAAATCTGCCTTACAATGAAGTACATTTTCAGTGCAGCCCTATACAAATTACTTCAGATGAAAAACCCATCAAAGTAAATGATGCTTACTCCTGACTAAGTGCCCATTGCAATGGATAGCTGTCTCAGGGACCAACATCCTTTGTCCATAAGGATGGAGAAAGGTAATTGACTCTACATCCCACGAGATGAAACCTGACACGATCACATCTCAGGCTGATTTTTTAAAGCCTCACTTTCCATACTTCAGTCTAATTTTGTATGTCGAATTTATTATAGCTTAACACAATTAACTCTCTCCCCCACAAACTCTGAGACCTTGAGAATTCAAGTTCTTTTCAGTTCTTTCAATACTTTACTTCATATAATTAAGGTACTCAGTCCCCTAGCTGGTAGTATTTTTTCTCCATGAAGGACCAAACTATCCTAGTAATAAAATATATATATTTAAAATATATTAAATATATTAAAAACTCACGATGTTCCTGGGCTTGCTGTTGGAGGAGGACCTAGAGAAAATATATTTTAAAAAAGAAAACAGAATGAATTTTTAGGACAATATAAAGTTCTAGAACTATAGGTTTGCTTATGCTGAATATAAAGTTGCAGCATTATATGGTTTCAAGTTGCATAAAACTGATGAGATTATCATGTGGCAGCAGCTGTCATTATGATCAATAAGTATAGATGGTGGTCTTTCTACACTTAAAAGCTTAATGTGCACATTCCATAAACTCAGGAAGACAGATGTTCCACACAACAAATTATTTGAGCTTTCCGTATATTGGATCTTGAGACCTAAGGTCGGCCATTCAAGGTAAGGGGGGCACCTCTGTTTAATCTGTGTGAATTATGACCCAAAAGTGTGCATTATTATGTATCTTTTTTCAGAAAAATAAATGGCATGAATAATGTAATATATTTAATAATGTAATATTCTAAACCTGCTCAGAGAATAAATAGTTTAGGTGTCCAAATAAAATATACAATACCAAAGTCTAGTTTTCTAAAAATAGAATACAGTCACACAGTTTTATTGTCTACATGTAGCACAATTACCTACAGCTTTTTATTAGTTGCTTTAAAGTTACTAATTAAGGGCATTTTAGAGACATCTTGAATTGAATTTGTATGCTATTCTCTTACGAATTCTGAGGTTTTTTTTCCCCTTTGCCAACAGTAATGAAAACTAACAAGCACCTTAACAAGAAATGCAATAAAAACTAACAAATTACTGAGGTATGGTGGTCTTTCTTATGAGTTATATATAAGCTCTGTCAGCCCTGGCTGGCTTCTTGTGGTTCCATGAACTCAGAACACAAGTGTTGCAACAAAAGAGGGTTTATTATAACAGAGAAGGGATTAACATACAATAACTTAACTTCCCTTTGCCCAGTTCTTTCAGGAGGATTACATCACTATATACATGCTGTGATTCCTCCGTTCTCTTCACCGAGGGATGCAGAATGTCTCTCCCAACCTTAATTTTATTTGTTGAAGCCCTTGTGGGTATTGGAGCCAAGGCCCCTAGTCCAAATGGTTCCCTGCCATCAACAGTGAGGGGCAGTATGTCCACAGGGCAGTGGGTTGGGAGTCTGTTCAGGGTGGTCCTGGGTTGGCCATTGCCTTTGCTTCTTTCTCCTCCTAGTGCTGGTGTTCTTATTGCCTCTTTCTCCATCAGGTTCAGAGCTGAGTGGTGGTAGGTCCCTCAGGCTTTTAGCTAGACTGCTGCTCTGTCTAAACCTTCTGTTTCCCCCAGTAAGGCAGGGTTTTTTTTGGGGGAGCTGGGGGGGGTCTCATGTTTCTCCTCCTTTCCCTTAGGAACCCTAAACCAGACAAGGACCCCACTCCAGGTTCTTCTTTATAAATATAGTCCCATTTCCTAGGTGGGAGTTATCTGCCCAGTAAGACCTTGAGAAGGTTTCTTCTTGTGGGGTGTCTCCTTCTGCCCTTTTGGGGTTAGAAAGGGGTCTTTGACTCTCCTCTGTTTGGCAAGTCTCCTACATGCAGGTTCTCTCTGGTGGTGGGTTCCTCCTGTGCCATGGCAAGGCCAATTTTACATCCCCCATCTGTCAGGAATACAGCTGGGAGGTTTCCCCTAGAGGTTGCCTGCCTGCCCCTGGGATTTCTGGGGCCACAAACAGGGGCAGGAACTCAGTTTGAGTCCTGGCATCCTTTGCCTTGGGCTCCTTATCCCTTGCCCTCATCGGTGGTTCAGGTTCCACAGTCACCAAGTTCTCTGCTGTATTGGTTGGTAGACCAGTCCTCTCTTCAGGGCCCAGGGGGAGCAACAAGTTGCAGATGGGGGCTATCTCACCACTTATATTATATCCATATTATATAATGAGGTACTTTTAAAAGCTTCATAAGTTTTGTTAATGTCAAAGGTTAGCACTAGCCTCACTGGCTGGCTGAATTAAGGGTCACGGGGGCAGGATGACAGCATGAAGAGATTTAACTTTTTCACTGTGTGCTGCAACCTTGCTGAAGACATACAAGCGCACACACATCCCACTCAGCTCAAATTAGACACAGTAGAGAACCTTCCATTAGCACCTAAGGAAGCTTCCCTGATACGAAAAATTAGATGAGCACTGAGGAAAGCAAGACATATTTTGTAAGACTGCAAAATGCATGGGAAGATTTACATCCATCTTAGGCCTGCTCAGGCCCCAGCACTAATACCACATGTTTAAATAATTTTGAAAACACACCTTAAATATTTAAATATTAAATTTCATATGAAGATTGACCCTTAAACCTGGTCACCGACTTCAATAACAGGTATATATTTTACAACTCATTTCTTATCATAATTCTCCACACATATTAAACAGTATTATGATATTTCACATAGTATAGTACCTAGAAAGTAACTCAGTAAGACAAATTGCTTTCTCAGTCTGAAGAAGTGGATCTAGTCAGCTGTTAAGTGAGAGGTTTGCCTCCACAGTTTTACTTCGCATTCTTCAGAAATAACATGTTTTCCAAGAAAAAAAGAAGCACTTACCAAATTTCACAAACAGTACTCCAGTTGTAGAAACAGTCTTCCTGCCGTTTGTTGCCACACACTGAAAGTAGCCAGTGTCTGTGGTATCAAGGTTTCTTATTCGTAATCGAGACCCATAGCTTGTTGCGCGGAAAGATATCCTTCTTGGCTCTTGTACAACTGGAGCATCGTTCTTCAACCAACGTACCGTGGGGGAAGGATTACCAGAAACCTTACAATGCAGTTCTGCCGTCTGGCCTAGAGTGGTGGTGATATTGTTCATAGGTTCATCAAGTGTCAAGAAATAATCTGTGAAAGACATACAAAGAGAAAAAGGATAGCTATGGCAACCATGTTGTCCATGCCTTATTCCAGAAGAATTGAAAACTTCTTCTAAGTTGCAGGTAAGATGGGAATATCCTGTTCAAAGAAATAAACACACAACACTTCATTGTATATTTATTTTGAATAAGCCTCTGGGTTTTTTTTTTCAGATTAATGAAACTTGTTAGGATGGGCCTAATTCAGGGGCTGAAGTGCACACATTTTATCTGTGAGCTTCCTGTGTACTTTTTCCTTTTAGAGAAGGATGTGATTATGTGAACATTCCTTTGTCCATGTGGAGCCAATCCCTGTTATCTTTCTCCCTCTGGAAAGATCTTGTATCAGATATATGCTGATAGAACTGGCTGGGTTAGACCTGTTATCCTAGAGGTTGCATGTTTTCATACTTAATAGAAGGATGGTATTCAGTACAGTTTTGTTGTGCATGAGACTAACATTCATTTGTACAGCCTCTTGCACAACTGCCAGGCAAGTGTACTGTCAGGGATTTTCTCAGTGCTCGCATAATCCTGAGATTTATTTACAAAATATTTTGAGTATGTCTGTGCTGCCCCATTGTGTAAATAGTCCTGCCAAAGTAGTTCATGCATAACATTAAATCATAAAAATAATGCTAAAAGTTAGCTAATTTCAAATTACAAAACTAAAATGGCAACACTTTCCAATCCAATACTGAAATTGGATTAAAATAATTGAAAACAATTCAAAAGAGGAACTCTATCTCTTTCTCTCCCTCTGCAATCAGAACCAACTTATACAGTAGTGACCCTGATAGGATTTTCACAGTAAGTACCAGAACAGACCATAAAAATGTCAATGCAACATCTGTATCTGGAAAAAGAATGAAACAAAGTCCACTTTACTGCCAGTATATCACTTGTGGTAATCATCCTAACAAATCTTGATAGCAAACCTAAAGACAGAGACTGATTTTGAAATTCAGATAGATTTATTCTGGTGCAGGTTTTTTTTTTCCAAATGACACGGTCCCAGAGTATTTAATATTTGAAAAGCCAATTGTTGGGTAGTTAATATTCTCAAAATAATTTAATGCTGGAAGCTACTGAGGCAGTTTCAAGCAAGTTCCTTGCATGCAGACCTTCTTAGTAAAGCAATTTCCCCCTTACTTTGAAAAAGTGTCTCCAACTTTACGTGTTGAAAACTGGTCTCTTTTTCATTTTTCTTCATCCACTACAATAACCCAATAATGTTGCACAAAATGTAAGTTACCCAAGAGCTGAACGGATCTCTTTGTAACTGAAGAATGCATCAAAGCAATGAAACTGAGCTGGCTCAAGACGTTTTGCTGTGTGATGCAAAGAATAGAATAGCTCTTTGTTCCTGATCTATTAGAGGGAGATTCGTGAACAAATAAAAAGGGGGTCTCCCAGTCCAGTAGGTCTTTCCTCTCCACAGTGATGCAGGAGAGGGGGAAAGGAGAAGGTGAGACCTGAACCTGAGATCTATTTTCCTATCTGCTTTGGTGTGTAGAGGGGAACGTAGTATCCTACAGACCCTTGGAAACACTACCTTATATTACAGAAGTACTGCTGGTCATTTTGAACAAGACCATAGATGGTGAATCTACAATGGTCAGTCATTACAGAATTTGGAACAGTAAAGCAGAAAATGCCCATTTAGGCTGAAAATGTATGCTTACTTATATAGGTATAGGCTCCATACTTAGGTTTGTATTGTGAAATTTATCTGCTTCACCTGTTCTGGATGTGAACAGTTTACAAAATTAAGTTCTGGCCGAATTCATGTGGTTATACAGTCATACATTCTTTGGCTCAGATCACTCTCACCAGTATACAGTATACTCATTCACTTTAGTGAGATTTCTGTTTAAGGAGGATTTGAACAATAAATCAGAGTTAGCCTTTTCTTCAGTTTTCACATCATAACTTTCATCTGTTACCATCTACATAACTAAAACAGTTTTAGAAAGCAGTCTGATGTTAGGCTGAACATTGGGCTGAAACCAAAAATGTTTTAAAATCTAGACCACATATATATAATATAATAATAGTCAATTTTACTTTTTAATTTGTTAAAACCATTTGCTCCCAGTTTTAAACTCTAGATGCCAGGTTTTAACCCACAGAGATTTCTTTTTCCCCTTTATGCCTGAGTTATAACCACTGAAAAATGCTGACAGACCCTTACTGTAGCTGGCCTAGTGGGTGCCCTATAATGAACTTTTAAATTACTTGAGATAATATCTGGAAAGCCTGACCTTAAATATGTTTCTGGTTTTGACCCATTGCCAATGAAAACACTGCACATCATAAGTCACCTTCATGAGTCTAAGAGCATAAATTGGAGACACAGAATGTAAAATCTAAATATTAGACTTTTATTTTGCAACTTCTCTGATTTTGTGTGTGTTATGGAACCGTTGCAGCTGCGCTTTAATATATGCAGTCATTTTACATTCTGCAAGGACAGAATGCAGTTTGTAAGGAGAAATATGCATTTATTTCTTCAGTTATGTTCTGACATTGTTAGATGGTAAACTTTCAGGGTATTTACTACTTTACGTGGCATCCAGGTGCACTTCAAGGTAAAACCATCAAATTCTGGCTAAGGAACACTGAGTAAATTACTCAGGCTTCAGTTTGTAAAGTTACATTTTACAATTACCACTCCACAGAACCAGACAAGCTATGGCAAGCACACGAAATATGACTCCCCACTCCATCAGTAGATGGAATAAAAATACAACAATTAAAAATAAATAAATTGATAAATTGTCAGGAACATAGGAGTCTGCATTATAATAAAACAGAACGTTGGTCCATCTAGCCCAGTATTCTCAACACTGATTGACTGACAGTAGCCCTCCAGGGATTCAGGCAGGATCTACCCCCAGAGACTCCTGAAATTTCCTGGTGGTCTCCCATCCAAATACTAACCAGATCCAATCTTGCTTAGTTTCCAGGACGAGATGAGATCACTGTGTTCAAGGTGGCACAGTGGTATGTTTATGTTTTTCCTACATTTTGAAAACCCCACCCACTGAGTAGCACAAGATGTCATACACAGTACTCACCCCGCATGCTTTTATCCTTACAAAAGGCTAATTGTCCCAAGATCACTCGATAAACTTAATAGCACAGTTGGTGGGCACGGGGGATCTGAAGCTAGCAACAGAATTCAGAGGTAGTCTGTGACTGGAAGAGGGGAAATTCTGAACTGATTTGAGTCTCTGAGGGTCCCAGGATAACTTTCTCTCATCTCTGAGATCAGGCAAATTAGCTGACTTAGTTGGGTGATTGGCCTTCAGGATAACATGGGAAGCTAGATTTTAAAAAAAAAAAACATGTCTGCAGCCCCCAGTCTACAATATGACTGTGCTTTCAGCTCTAATTACAACAAACTATCTCTAATGTCTGTTTCTGGCCTGAGTCCCTTGTCTGATACTCTAACCGTACTTATGTCATGTTTGAAAGCCATATGAACTTGCCTACAGTTTAGCACCTTTTATTAGGGTCATGTATAAGGTGCCTCTTACCATTTTTGGAGGAGCTGTGATCACCTTAGTTCGTAGGGAGAGTAAATACATCACCAGAACAAAGACAAAAAAGATGGCATGTTTGCATGCCATTTCAATTTTTTAAAAGAACACCAAAATAATTTTTAAAAGAACACCAAAATAATTAACCACTCCATTACTCTTTTTGTTACTCTAAACAGAAAGAGTAATGGGGTGGTTAAATGACTTGTATGTTTCTTTGTTCAGTCTGCTGCTCTTACCAGACAACTTCAAGGATCCTGTTCTCTGTTCCTAAATTTTTAAAGCATCTGCTTTTCTGTTTTAGAGAAACAGATGACACCGGCAAACCAAGGACTACCTTCTGCAGGGAAAGACACACATGCACCCAATTCAGCAATACCAACACCATGTAGAAGTCAAGATCAGGCCAAATGTGGTGTCAAGTCTGATGAAATACTTAGGTAAAATGGATTCCTTCTTCCAAAATTTACATTGATATTCTGATTATGACTTTTTGATTTGATATTCTGATTCTGCCTTTGGTGTGGCTTTATCATACATTCAAGTTGATATGTTTAAATCATGCCTTTAGCTGCCTTGAATGCTTTATCCTGCAAAGGAGATTAAAATTGTTTTAAATAAATAAAGACCTGCAGGTATTGCACCATAAGAAGAAGTATCCAGTATCTTACCTAAACTGAATGAAAGAAAGCAATAAAAACAGGACAAAAGTATTTTGATAGTTTATCCCATACAGGGCAGATTCCTAAATATATTCATTGATGAATAACTCAATTTCATCAAGAGTTCAAAGCCACAAGGCAGATTATGTTTCAAAGTTCACCAGCCAAAACCATGACTGTGCATCACAAGCCAGAAGATACTTAACGTGGAATAATCATTCTTCAGTGCACTGCAGTCATCACTGTGTTTAATACACACAATGCTGAAAGATGTAGGAAGGGAAGAACATAAGCATTAATCCTGTTACTCCTTCAGTGCCTTGACAAGTAACAAGGTACTTTTGTGAGTGCAAAAATTACTTAAAATTTGAACAAAGCAGTACGATATCCCTTAGCTTGAAAACCACTGTAGTCTGAAAGGAAAAAAGAATGTGGAGATCAAACAATCTCATGTTTAATTGGATTTAACTGTAGATGCAGAATTGGTCCATGACCATCTGGATTGCTAGCTTTGCACCAGCCTTATGGTCAGTTGTCTGCAATGGTGGTATGTGACTGACTTTCATTTGCCTTCTGAGCAGTCCTGGCTCTCCCTCACCAAGTCCACTTGTGCTTCAGAAAGAAGAGGGATGGGCCCCAAGTGTTGTAAAGCTGAGGCAGAAAATGATACTGTAGCAACAAATCTACTGTGCATGACTTGGAATGAAGAACTACTGAGCCCCATTCTAATATCTTTGATGTACCAGACTTAATAATAAGGAGACAATAATGGGATTTAATGT